TGCTATTCCATACATAACCCTATACTGTATACTTTATGAATCAATAAAAAATTTACAATTTTTTATTATAAACCTGTGTTTTCTATCAAAATTACTTCTTGGGTGAATTTTGGGACACCACATATATATATTCTATTGTTGATAGTATTACAGATATCTCCTGTTCCTCCCCCCCTTTACCCCCTTCCTCCCAGTCCCTACCCACCCACCCTGAAACAATATGAAACAAGGCTATTTCCTTATTTCAGTTCTGCAAATGTATGAAGATTGCTATCAAGCCTCCCACTTAGTTCTCTTACTCTAAACAGGCCATTTCATTAACTCATTTATCTAGTGTATGGTTTGGCAAGCATTTTCTGTAAAGAGCCAGATGGTAAATACTTTTGGCTTTTTGGGCCACATGGCCTCTGTCACAACTTTTCAACTCTACCATTGTAATGCAAAGGCAGTTGTTTAAGAGAAAAGGATAAATTTGGTGCCCATTACTCCATTTTGATTGGAATGAGAAATTCTGAAATATTAAATCAGAAAAATTAATACCTAAAGCATTAAAGCTAACCTCTTTTTTATCTTTAAATTTTTTTTTAAAATTACAGTTGACAGGCAATAGTATGTTAGTTTCAGGTATACAGCATAGTGATTTGACATTTATGTAACTTACAAAGTGATCACCCCCAATAAATATAGTACCCATCTGACATTACACATAGTTATTGCAGTATTATTAACTATATTCCCTATGCTGTACTTTATATCCCTGTGACTGTAAAACTAACTTCTGATTGCAAAACTTCTTCCCCCAAATTGGTTCATATTTTGCATTAGCTTAGAATTATGAGTTCATTAAAAAATTCATTTAATTCCACAGTGTTTGACATTATCCCTTTCTCTTACAGGAAACATTCAAACTGGAATTTTAAATCATTACAAGTCAGTGATGGATCACAAGTTGCAGAATGCAATCCTAAATAGAATTCTTCAAAAGAATTGCTTTAAATAACAGAGGAAAGAAAATTATCCACCACTCTAAAACCCTGATCTAGAAAAACCTATTGCACATACTAGGAAGTTAAAACTGGAGAAATTTATCTGACTCTTAATGCACCTGAATCAAAGGAACTGTCGCTTTGTTTCTCAAAGGAATTTTATATCTGAGATTATTTTAATAGCCAATCATTTTATTAGAATCTTGACATGATCATCAGGAAGGAGAAACAGAACAGTCGGTAAAGCCCGTGTGTTGGTCAAGATGACTTCTGAAGAAATGGCAGCTTCTGATCTCATACCTGTGACTCAGAGAAAAGTGGTGTCTTCTCAGTCAGCTGCAGATGAAAGTAGTGAAAAGGCCTCAGGCATCAGTGTTCCAAAGACACATACTCCTGGGCAGAGTAGGCCGACTTCTCATACCATCTCAAAACTGAACAAACCCAAAGAGGAAACTTCTGGAAGCAACTTGCCTAGGATTCTCTCAACAACAAGGGGGGAAATCATGAGTGATGAGAACAGTAACGAAACGTGCTGGAAGAAAAACATGCCCGATTCTGTGAAGAACCTTAACGTGAACGGCAACAACATATTGGAAAACCGTCAGTGTGGTCTTCCTCAGAGCCAGTTTTACAAAACATGCGATTCTGTTGTAGAGGAAGGCCTGCATTTGGAAACTGGAATCCCTTCTTCCCTGGAAAGAAAGGTGTTCCCTGGGATTCAACTGGAACTAGACGGACCTCTCACGGGCATTCGTCCCTTAGGAAATCAATCAGCAACCAGCAGGGCACACCCCGACAGCGATTTGGCGGTATTTCACTTTCATTATGAACTTGACAGAAGAATGTCAGACAGTGTCTGTACCCTATCAGACAACTTGATTTTGGATGATTGTGGAAACTGTGTATCACTGCCTGATGTTGGTAGGGAGCAAAAGAAAAATTATATGGCATATACTTGCAAACTGATGGAATTGGCAAAAAGCTGTGATAATGAGAACAAGCAGCGACAGGGTGATCATTGTGACGCCTTGAACGATGAATACATGTGCTGCGAAGCTTCCTGCCGAAAGGCCAACGTGGTATGTTCTAGTGACAGCTTCTGCAGGGAGGGTTTTACTGATAGTCCATCTGCCGAGACTTTTCTGAGCCATTTTGAGGACTTCCCTGATAATTGTGAAGACGTAGAAGATTATTTTAAAAGTAAAAAGGAGCGATCTACTTTGTTAGTGAGGAGATTTTGTAAAAATGACAGAGAAGTTAAGAAATCTGTGTATACTGGGACAAGGGCAATTGTGAGGACTCTGCCTTCTGGTCACATTGGACTGGCAGCTTGGAGTTACATTGATATGAAGAGAAGTGGAAGCTCGTTGCCTTGTGGAAGAGTAATGGGCCAGCTATCAACAGTGCTGATTAGGCAAGATGGGAGCCCATGTCTGTCAGAAGCCCAGTGGTATCCGGTAAGAGTGAAAGTTTCTTTCGATCATTTTTTTAAGCTTGATATTTCAAAATCCAAATTTTCATTGTCTTAATTCATGTAAAATTTTAAATTCTGTCAAATTATGATTTACAGGGGAAGTATTTATAGTTATTGGAAACAAGTAGATATAACAGTTACTCCAATGGATAGCTGTCAAGGCTGAGTTAACTCTGCAACAATATAGGTAACAAAGTACGCATACGTATGCCATCAGGAGTGGAGACATTACAGAGATTCCCTGGTTACTGTGTGTGGAATTATAAGAAAGAAACTCCTGGTAGTGGAAAAACTCTGAATTTTGTTGTGTCCTTCAGAAATATATGCCTATGTCTTCTTTTATTGTGCTTTTAGTTTGCAAGGCCGAAAGGAACTTAAAGTCTGGTTTCCTCCATTTTCCAATCAGCATTCCCAGTTGCTTCCCTCTTCACCTTTTTTGTGCCATGGACCCCCTTTGGCCATTTGGTGAAGCCCATGGACTCAGAATGCTTTTAAATGCATTGAACGAAATACAAAACATTATAAAGGACACAGATTATGTGGATATAAATTTATCAAGACATTTTTTGAAATTATGACATAGCAGGGTAGGCACTTCTTTATTAGCACACTAAAGGATGGTACCCAGTGACGTGCTAACTACCTTAACTTCAAAGTAGTGATGAATCTAGGTCAGGAATGGTTTGCCTGGGACTTTCCCAGTTTTATCATCCCAAGCATCTCAAGCCTGGGCATACAAGGGCAGTTGGTCACACTAAATATAAATACTATTTTTAGGGTGTCTACTATGACTGTAATATATGGAAATATTTGTGATTTCTATTGGTGACAAGATCATAGCTGCTGCTGCTGCTACTACTGAGATTTGTTGCCTATATTCATAATTGAAGGAAATGTTAAATTTCTAACTCTCACATTCTAGTGTTTCACAATTTCTTAAAATTTGGCCCTATAAATAACTACCCAGTCTAGGAAAACACCCTTTTTATTGAAATATAACTGGCATATTTTTACTTTCATCAACATCAATATGGTAGCTAATATTTGTGCATTTTACATGTGCCAGGCATTGGGTCAAATAATTTATTCTTTTTTAAAAAATATAGTTTTATTGATTTCAGAGAGGAAGGAAGAGGGAGAGAGAGATAGAAACATCAGTGGTGAGAGATAATTGTTGATTGGCTGCCTCCTGTACTCCCCCTACTGGAGATTGAGCCCAAAACCTGGGCATGTGCCCTGACTGGGAACGAACTGTGACCTCCTGGTTCATAGGTCAGCATTCAACCACTGAGCCACACCAGCCAGACCAAATATTTATTCTTGATTTCATGCAATCATCTTAATTCCCCTCTGGTATTAGTATGCTTATTAACACTGTAGTATTGCTAAGAAAACTGAGTCTTAGAGAAGTCATTCACCCTGTCCAAGGTCACTTAGCTAATAAGTGGTGTAACCAGGATTGTGATCCAGGCAGCCCACACTCTTAATTCCTCAAGATCTAGAAAGAAATAAAAGTTAGAGTAAGCTTTTAAAGGAACAGACAAATTCTGTTCATTTCAGCACCTGTTGACTTAGTAGCCACATTCACTGATGCTTAGGTTTTTCAGACTTGACTGTGTTTGATATGGTGCTTCTAACCCTGTTACATGTTTGAATCACAGTGTCCATTTTCCCCAATCCTCCACCCCCCAGACTCTCTGAATCAGAATCACCAGGGTAGGGTGCAGCATGAATATTTTTTTCAAAATTCCTTTGGGTAATTCTGTGATTCTGTGGAGTTGAGAGCCACTGACCAGGAGCTTAAATTCTTTGGTCTTCATCAGGACATTTGGGGACTGTTTCCTCTGCCCTAAAGACCATGACACTGCCAGGGCTCTCAGGAGTGTCAGGCCTGACCAGGGAGCCTGAAGGCCCTTCTCGCTGTGCATTCGACCTACCCTTCACCCCACCAAGTGTCAGCAGGTTTGTTTTTACTTCTTCACCTGATACCTCATGAAACCTGAGTCACAGTCAAGGTGGTGTCAGTTACCCACATGCTCCCCAGCTCTTCTGACCGAATTCTGAATTTTGTCCATGCAGGGAGAAAGAGGTTCATCACAGCAATGTGTCAGCCGACTTAAAAAGGCAGCAATTCACATTCACCTGAAGTTGAACGTTAAGAACACAATAGAAATTTAAATATAGCAAAGTGAGTGGAAGTAGATTGTTTGAGAACCGTTATCATAGTTCCCCACACACACTATGCAGACACGAGGGCTGTGAATGTGCTATAAACTGCAGGATAACTTTTGGCATGCCTGTACTTATCTTCCAGTTCCTGCAGCCCTACCACTTCTGAGAATGTTCACAGGTCCTTAGCTTAAATCTGCCCCTTTCAGCCTGTCAGAGGCCCTGGATTGGTCATTTCCAGTGAAAAGAACCGAAGAGATGAGTCAAATCATCTCCTCCCTCCTTCTAGTCTCTGGAGGCTGGGAGAGGTCACCACACCTCAGTCAGAGTCAACTCCAGGAACTTCTCTCTCCTCTCTGACTGGGTTTCTGGGAGGTGGTGGGCATTTTTATTAATCCTTAACATGAAGCTGGGGGATGGGCTGACTGTCCTCCTGTCCTTTCTCAAGGGAGAGTTCTGAAAGGCAGAGACCTTTTTGAACATCCATTCTGTGGCAGGAATGGATCAGTATTTTCTAAAGTATGGTATTCTCCCTGTATGTTATGTTTTGTCTTGTTTTTAGTCTGGTGGAAATCCTTCTCAAAAGTTGCACAGATGAATTTTAGCCACTTTCCCTCAGCTCCTATAAAGTGCTTCCTTCAGCTAAAAAAAAAAAAAATGCAGATTCTAATGTTATGCTTATAGTTCCAGTGTTCTGATTATTTCACACTAGAGGCCCGATATACACGAAATTCGTGCATGGGGGGAGGGGGGGGTCCTTCAGCCCAGCCTGCATCCTCTTCATTCTGAGATCCCTTGGGATCGGGTCCAAACCAGCAGTCGGACATCCCTTTCGAAATCGGGACCACTGGCTCCTAACTGCTCACCTGCCTGCCTGCCTGGTCACCCCTAACTGCCCTCCCCTGCCGGCCTGGTCGCCCCTAACTGCTCACCCCTGCTGGCCTAGTCACCCCTAACTGCTCTCCCCTGCTGGCCTGATTGCCACTAACCGCCTCTGCCTTGGCCCCTGCCACCATGGCTTTGTCCAGAAGGATGTCCGGTCTAATTAGCATATTACCCTTTTATTATGAACGTTAAATATATTTAAGGTTCACTTTGCTATATTTAAATTTCTATTGTGTTCTTAATGTTCAAGGAATTAAGTATAGATGTGTCCCCCAATTAGACTGTAAATGTATTAAGGGCAAGAAATGGCCCTACTTTTTTTTCTACTCTCCATAATGCCAAGTATATAGAAAACAGGACAATGTCAGACTAAGAAACATGGTCTTTGGAGTCAGTTGGCAAGGCCTCATGCAGAGTGGGTGCCACTGCTCTCACTCCGGTCACTTATTACATACTTTGTCATGCACATGTCCCCAGCCTGTGCTCTTGGTAGCTTCTGACACGGGCAAGTTTACAGCGGTATGAATTTGAATGTATGTCCCTTAATCTATGATGTGGTCGTTTGAACAATCCTCCCCACACATTTAAAGAATGTGTTATTTATCCAATTAGTTCCTTTGCCTCACTTAACTTTTTTTTCCTTGTGTGCCTTTGTCAAAATGACCCAATTACTTTATATTTGCACAGCTGTTCAGAGGAGCATGGATTTGAATGGGAGACATTAATGAGGATTAATGCTGGCTGCCTGACTAACCATATTGGTATCCTCCTCCCTGCTTGTAAAAAATTAAAACCCTAACCCTTATCCAGTTACAGCCACACTCCCTTTCTCCTGCTTTCAATTTATTGGCTCACAAAGATGATATATTTTGGCAAGTGGCTAAAGTGTCCAAGTTAGAGATTGGTTAAGGGTGTTTTCCTTTTTTTAAAAAAAATTCTCTCCCTGCCTGAATTTTGGGGAATTTAGGTACCTAGAGTTATTCTGAATCCGAAGTACAAGAAGTTCTGCCTCTGCTGGAACCAGTCATGTAACCTGAGTTCCGTGTGCACTCAATGATGGAGCGTGGAGGAAACGAGGGTAGCCAGGGCCGAAAGTCCACCAGCTCCTGTAATTACCGCTTTATTTATGTCCCTGCGTGGATCCACAAGAGGATTTAATGTACAATAGGTACAACAAAATAGAAAAAAAAAAGTGAAGTTTTAAGAAATCAAAATAGAAAAATTATAAATTATAAAGGAAAGATAAAACCAGCTTCTATGTTGCTAGTTCCTTTTCTGCTTTCTTCCTTCTAAAATGTGTCTTCACATTTTTTCTACTCTCCAATACAGAAAATTAAACTTAAGAGGCTATGGAAAATTTTTTGAGTGTTTAATATAAATACCTTTGTTGGTATTGTTGGTATATATGTCCTTGATTCTATATTTTCTGTTACATGTAAAGGGGCCAACCAATAACAAATTCATTTCCTTTGTAACTTTTATGGGTGATCAAATATCTGTTGAGCCATGCCGTTCAGTGTTGTTAATAGGTGGCTGGTGAAATAGCAACATGTCTTGTTTTCTTGTCTGGGAATTTGGTCTCCCTGCATCTTGGGTACAATTTGGACCTTGAACTAATTAAAATTTCACGGGGAGCACAGGCTAAGCTGAAAGCCTCCGCTTGGTGACATGCAGGGCCTCCTCTTCCATGACTCAGGGTTATGTCAGGTTCATGACATGGCTATAGGAGGAGGCTGGCCCCTTCCTGCTGAGCACAGTGAAAGGGAATCCAGCTCCCGGCCAGTCCCTGTGCAGTTTAGTCACGTCTAGTGCATCAGTGGAAAATGTGACAGGCCATCAGTGGCCAGCTCTGTGATAGTTGGTCAACTTTCACTTATTAGCTGCATTGGGACAGTTTAGGGTAAACTTACTTCCACACTGTAGTTACAC